TTATTCTAAATAATCTTTTGTCAAAAAGTCATTTTCGACCCCTATTATCTCTAAATTGACTAGCCCGAATCTACGGGCGTTACACGATGGGGTCCCGAGCCCCATGGTAATCTGGAGCTCCACAAGCTCTGAACTATCGGAATATCAGGGTATCCCCATCATGGCCATCATCTCAGTACGGAAAACTCTCAGCTTCTCATCCAGAAGCTCTAAAATACCCTCCTTGACCGAACCAAAGATCACAAGAGTCTGGTCTAGAATATTGCGCATAATCTCTGCTGAAATAAACTCTCACCTGCTCCCCGAGTTGCTCGGCTCCTGAGCCCGAGCCTGATCCCTCACCAGCGCCTGAATCGCCAACTAGTCTACCCCGTAGCGTCACCATTCTGCAACATATCATAATAACCATCAGAATACTCATCACTACAGAGGGATCACATACGCACTAAAAGTTCCCTGGTTTTATCTCAGCCATCTTTGATTCGAGTACATATCCTCTGCTTTCAGTAGTATGGGCCCCTACTACCTTCCACATCTATCCGTACTTTCCTCAAAGATTGCCTTGACTCCACCAAATCCCTTGCACTACTACCATTTCTCCCAGCACTAATCTCATCCTAGGCTTGCCCTAGGGTAATCTATAACCCAGCCCAGTCCTCAGCTGCTGAAGGACTCTTCATAATGCCAATTAACCACTACGTGAATACCATCATATGTAACGAGGCTCGGATAATCCTTCGAGTAAAGGACTCATCCCTACAACGGTTAGACTCAAACGAGAGCTGCGCAATAGGGTCAAATCAAGCACTCTGAGATTATCCAACCCTGATCCACATGTGACTTAACGTATTCACCTAGTAGCTAACTCCCATCACTCAAAGTTCCACAAAGCACAAAGCAAGCAGCATTCAGACCAACGGAAAATCTAACCATAAACATAATCAAGCAATTATATCCACATATCAGGAATCTGTACTAGCATGCAACTTATAAAGCTCATACACATAACAGGCACATAAGGCATCCTTCCTAGATCCTTAGCCCTAATCTAGCATGCAGTTCTCATAAGCATATCATATCTAAACAAACATGTATGGGTAATTTGGGAGAACTTACTTGATTTCGGCTGATTGCATGCACCATACCCTTTTCTCTTTTCAAAGTTCTTTTCTCTTGTCAAAATTCTTTTCTTATTCTCAAAGATCATTATAAAAATGATTTTCTTTTGAAAAAATTTCATACCACGTCCTCAGTTTGAGTCCAGACACACACCGAGAGTGTGCCCGAATCCCTCAAACCAAGGCTCTGATACCAACTTGTAACATCCCAAAAATTAAGACCAAAAATTTCATTTTAATTAATTAATAAAACCATAAGTTATCAAAAATTTCAATTGTCATCAGAGTTCCATATCAAAAATCAGAGTAAAACATCCCAGGCTAAACATCATGGTGTATGCGATGCAGTCATCCCGAGCTCTTCCCTCCACTACCGGAAGTACCTGAAACCAAAACTAAAAACTGTAAGCACGAAGATTAGTGAGTTCCCCAACCTACCACATACCATACACATAACCACATATTGGGCCCCCGCCCACTGCATTGGCACTTGCCCGGCATCGGACTCGCTCTGGCATCGGGCCCCGCCCGACATCAGGCCCCGCCTGGCAGCGAGCCCCGCTTGGTATACATATTTGTTTCTCTTAGGCCTCGCCTGTCTCCGGGCCCCGTCCGTTATACACATACAATCACATAAACATACTAGCACATAAAGCAACCATACACTACTGAATTCATGTTCTAAGGCTTCGCCTATCTTGGGCCCCGCCCCTGTCCGGCTACTGAAGAGTCATGGAACCCCGTCCACGCTCCTGCTAATGGTGAGATACGGGCCCCCGCCCACACTCACTTCTCTCCTATCCCAGGCCCCGCCCCTGCTCTGCTAATAATGAGATACAGAACCCCGTCCGTACTCAGCTAGTGATGAGATACGAGACCTCGCCCACACTCACCTCCCTACCAGGCACATACAAGTATCACAAAGACAACAAGTATAATCTACTATGCAACATACAACACTCCTTGGGCTTACCCCGATATCGGACCCTAGTCCGGAAACATACTACTGACACATGCAAGAATCACAAGGACCTCTAGAATACTAACATACCTTGGGCCTCGCCCGACATAGGATCGTAATCCGGAACGTATATCATAAAAATGCCTAGGGCTAACCCCCGTGTCTTCCTACTATACACAAACATAATGGGCCGACATTGTGGCCGTAGACCCATGCACACAATGAGGAGACTCACCTCACACTGTCGAAGTCCTGCTGATACTCCTCTGGCTGCTAACTGTCAATTCCCCGAACTGCTGCTCCTTCAGCTCCCCGAGCTATCAGTAACAAAATGACACTTAATCCCAAAATGTCCTCAAAAGTCAAACTAGGTCAAAGTCAACAGTCAACAGTCAAAATCAAAGTCAACAGTCAAAGTCAACGCTCCGAGTTGACTCAACTCGCCGAGTTGCTCCTGCAACTCGTCGAGTCCTATACATCAGAATCCTCAAATCGCGATCCAACTTGTCGAGTCGACCCCTAACTCGCCGAGTTCCCTGGCTACTCATGGTCGCGATTTATCATATCAACTCGTCGATTCAGTCCTTAGACTCGCCGAGTTCTAGCATGAACAGAAAACGGGACAACTCACTTTGACACGTCGAGTCCCTTCCTGGACTCATCGAGTCCCTCAGTCTGTTGGACCATCTTAATGGATTAAGCCCCTATACTTCAGATCTAAGTCCCAAACTTCATCTACATGCTGGAAATGATCTCTTAAGGTTAAAGTTTCCAACTTTACCCACTCCTAGTCCTTCTTAATGGGTTTAGCTCAAAAACCTAGCTCCTTAAGGCATGAATCTTTGTCCAAAACCCTTATTACTCCAATCCACAACATGAGAACCAAGATCTAGACCCTAGACACCCAACAAACACGTAAAGCCTTCGTCTTTTCATCCATGCATGGCCCTTTTTGGTTCAAAAGGCCATAACAACACCTTAAAGCTTGCATGGGGGTTTCTAATGGCATAAAGCTTGCACCGTTATGCCTTAACCACCCTTAGGGACTCCAGATCTGAAAGGATCTTTACTTGGGACGTCTAAATCCCATAGATCATACTTCATGGACCAAAACCTTCATAAAATGGACATAAAGAGATCTAGGAAACCATAAGCCAAGTTGAAGACTTGATTACCAGAAAATGGTGGAAATAAGATGGTGTTGCTGGATCTACAATCTTCTCTCCGAACCTTCAAAGTCCTTCTTCTTCTTCTTCTTCTAGTCTTCAAGAACACACCAAACCCTCAAAAACAAGCTCACAAGCTCAAGGATGCACTAGGGTTTCGAGATCTAGGGTTTTGTATCTAGGGGCTGAGAATGAGGCTGATGGGAGGAGAATAAGATGATTAAATAGGGTACATAAGCCTGAATTTAGGGTTTCCCAAACCCTGACCAACTCGCCGAGTAGGTCACTTATCCCACGACAAACTTCTCGCTTCTACTTGTAGAGCCATCCCTCTGGACTCGACGAGTAGACTTCTTGACTTGAGGGTTTATCCTTTCTTTTCTAGGTATTCTGAATTTGGTGTGTTACATTTTCGGCAAAGATAATAAGCACATAAAGCAAATAATTATCTAGATAATTCATATCTATGTATAAGATGAAAGTAACTATGTACTCACTTGATAAAGTGATGACTCGAAACTCGGATAGCGCTACGCTTTAGCACTTGGTTTTTCCTTTGACGTGACCCAGGTTTAGTTAAGACTAAGTCTTAGGCTAATATTTTTTTATGAATAAAGATATCCTAGATCCATCATTAATTCCAAAGTCTACTAATCTATAGTTGATAAGGGATAATCAAGTAGGATCATATTGGATATAGGGTCCGTTTGGTATACAAAGTATATTGTTTGTAAATCTCACTTTAAACACCTCACTAAATCCAGCCTAGATATCATCCCCATAAGTAGATCAATCAGTAATGTGACATTGAAATTACTGACAATCTTATTTATAGGTTCATAATAACGACTATGACTATAAATATAAGTTATAATGAAAGCGATACGAGTGTAGCGTAACTTACAAAGATTTCTTGGACAAATGTCCGAAAATTACACTAGCAGAGCTTCTACTTGCTATCTATTACTACTTCAAGGATAGCATGGCTTCGCCGCAGGCTAAAACTAAGGGACAACGGGCTAAAAGTTGAAGGAAATCAAGAGAGGAAGTTGTGGAGATGTGTATGGAATGAAAGGAGCACATATGAGGTATTTATAGCCAAATTTCGGGTGCACGACGTGCAAAAGGGATGCATATCGCACATTTTAAGGCTACGACCCTGTTTGATTTGGATCTGACTAAGTCCGGTCAGACATAAATGTCTGAATCTGTCAGATCTATATGTTTGAAATGTCTAAGTTTTGCATCTGACTGGGTCAACAATGTCTGACTCGGTCATACCAAAAAAACTTGCTGACCGAATCTGATTGAAATTCATTCCACCATTACCCCTGAACCAACACCAACCACCCTTATCCTCTTTCCTTACATCCATCGATCTGGAAAGGGAAAAAGAAACACAAACAGAGGCAGCAAACAGGAAGAAGGGGAGTCCAAGTGAAGCTAAATTACAATTCGTCCTCAAACCCTCCATGAAAACACCATTGGATCGGCCGGTGTTTTTATCAATGATCATAACAACTTCAAGAATCTCTCCAAATTGCTCGAGTCTCCCAAGCAAGCCCACCAACGAACACTTTGGTGAAATTCGTATCCCCGAAAAGGGACTGAAAACCAGAACTCAAACTTGATCCCGAGCTCGGACCTGTAGGAATCGACACCATGGACAAGACCCTTATGCTCTCTTTCTTTCTTTTCTTCTTAAATCGAATTGGGTTTAAGCATAAGGGACGAAACTGAAAAGAAATAGAAGAAATGAACGATTTTTTTCACAAAATAATTGGAATTGAACAAAAACCTGTACAGAAATGGGGAAATTCTTTCGAGATTTATGAAATTGAAAAGATTACGGCACCCAAGAGGTTGAGGTCAAAAGGGGTAGTGGTGGGTGGAACAATTCGTGTACAAACTACCCACGAAATGTCATTTTGTGGGGTTATGGTGAAGAAATTTGAAGGGTTTTTGAACTTGAAGTTCTTTTACTTTCAACAGGATGAATTTGTTGTACAAACTACCTACAAAGTTTTTTTACTTTATAAAAATTATTCTAAATATTCAAATTCTTTTATATATATATATATATATATATATATATATATATATATATATATATATATTAAAGTTGTGAAGAAAAATAACAGTAAACATCGCTAGTATTTCTCTATTTTCGTACTTAACTTACATTCTGTGTAGGTCCCGAGGGAGTTCATTACTTTCTTTCTAATTCTTTCTTACATGGGTAATTACCCTGTTATAAGATAAATGTATATAATGTTTTTTTTATTGGGTTCCTTTTTCGTGGCAAATCTGGATGCAGCCCACGTGTGTTCTTCCTGCGCTCTTACTTTTTGCTTGGGGTTCTTTCTATCTTTTTCTTTTGGCTTCCTTTTGCGTTCATCGTCTCCTTCTGTTTCTGCCAGGTAATTTTCCTTTGCTATTCTTCTTTTCTTTCTTCTGCTGTCGTTTTTTGGTTCCTTTGTTGCCGCTGTGTGGTGCGTTTATTATGTCATGGCTGTTCCGCTTAAGCGGACGGCTGACCCCGGTGCTTCGTCTTCCTCTGGTGTCTCTGTTGGTGGCCGGCGGAAATGTAGGCGTTTGGATGGCCTCTCTGTTCTTCTGGAAACTCGCTTCCTGTTCCTGCTGCTTCCCCTAATTGCACCCTATAGGTATCATTTGATTGTTTCTAATGCTATCTATCTTCCAAACTCCATTTTCCTCGATGTTGCGTCTTCCACAGATCCTCCAATTTCTTTCGACGACAACAACTCAGTCCGTCCAACTCATTCGGCATATGAGTTCGAGTCAGGTGGGGAAGCAACGCATCAGGTATGTGGGGAGGTCCTCCAATGATTTCAATTTTTCTACATACGATACACTTAAATTGGAAGTCAATTTTTTTAAGTGTGATTTAGGTTAAATCGGTTGTGCCCCCAAAGATTTCATGAAGACTAACATTGATGAAATGAATCTTCAGCATCTGAAACTATCCTTCCATACGATACTTTGAACTACAGAACCAAGGATTATTAGACGGAGCTAAAACCATCATGGTCCGCTTTTCAGGTCAGATCATTTATGCTAACATCATTTACGATTTTTTTACTCTTTTCTTTCCCTCTTTTGGTGCCTAATGTTGAAGATGATGATCATTTCTTATCGTGTTCTTCGGATGAGCGTCATGAATGAAGCCTTGGTTGTGCCCTTCAAAAAATCAGTACAACGGACCCATCGTCAGGTAAGTATGAAGGTGATTTTAATATAACACTCGCTACTTAGATTTAGAAACAATCTATCTTAGATATATTTATTTATCTCAGATTAATGTTATTACCACTATACGGGTTTTGGAACTATTTGCTGTTTACCATTTCTCACAGAGAGCAGCATAGAAGCTTCTTAAAGGTACAATGTCCTTATAATCGTTCTCTTTCCATGTAATCCAATTCAGTAACTGATCGTTTTTCTTTTCATGCTTAGATGTCCCAAACTCCAAACTCTGCTGTTCAAACCTTGAGCATTCTTTGTTTCCGTAAACCTTAATTTATGTAATTCAAGTTATTTAACCCATTTTATTCCAACCCTTAAACAGATTCAGCAAAAATAACAAACACGAGGTGTTACAAGTAACGAAGTGATTGTTTTTCTTCATTAACCCTTTACAAAAAAGGCAAACTTTTTAGAGTTTGTTGCTATAAGTGATTCAAAGTTAATGTAGAAAAAGTAGGAAAAACCAAGTTGTAATTCATAGAAATAAGAGTTGGATGCTATAATATACAAATGAACTAAAATATGTTAATATTTCTTTTGCTGGAATGCCATAATATATGTTTCTAGGTTTGATAATGCAAGTTAACATTTTTTTTAATATGATTTTTGCCTTTTTTAGGCCTGTTTTGTAAAAGCAAGTAATGGGATATCGATTTTTTTGAAAAGATGTTAAGAAGAAGTTCCACTTTTAGGCCTGTTTTGTAAAAGCAAGTACCGGAAGAATTCAATACAGTACGTCTTCCTATTTTATTTGCTTAACCTATTAAACTCTCATCAAATTAAAAGGAAACATTTTTTTGATGTCTTAATGCAGCTGGTCACCGATTGATCTCTAGATCCAGAATGAAGACTGGTGGCTTGCAGATGAATTCAGGTAAAGGGTGAGTAAAGGGTATGTTTATATTTCTTGATCTTATAAACATATGGAAGTGAATAAAAAATGAGGTATACTCTATACTTCATTTTTTTTTTTAAACTTTGCTTGCCTTTTAAGGCCCTTGATTCTCTCTTTATTTTATATTTAAGAATGTGTAACACATGTTTTAAAATATGGCCTTAAATTTGTGAAATTGCAGCACTTAAAGATGCAAGATGGATAGTGGATAGGATGAAAAGGAGAAATGTGGAAAAGTTGCCTCCAAAATTAGCAAGTGGCAAATAGTTCAGGGGTTATTTCAGTAACTTATCATTTACTATTCAACTATGAATAGTAATATATATGTGAATTGAATGAAGAATTGGACGGTGTATATATGTGGTCAAAGTAAGGCGCCTAAAATAATTGTCCGCCTACAATTTGGACGGCTTTTCTTCTTTCCTTTCATATGATATTGCTTTTGGCTATAAATAGCCTGAGCCATGAGCCAGAAAGATAAGAAAATAATTATCCAAGTATATATAGAAAAGTATTACATATATATACTGATACACCACCGTGTATTTTAGCTCTCCCATTCTATTTGTAATCTCTTTCATAATCCCTGTAAACACTTCAAATTATAGTGAATTGTTTCTCGGCTTCCTCCGCCCGTGGTTTTTTCCCGATTTGGGTTTCCACGTAAATTCCTGTGTCTCTATTCTATTTATTTTATTCGTATTACGTTGTGATTATTACGCTTTGATAATTTTTTATCCCATTCCGCATTGAGCTAATATTATTTAAGTCAATTTGGATCCGTCGTATTTTACAACAATTGGTATCAGAGCATCCAGGTTGTGATATTAGCTCGTTGGGATCATTTTATCAAGTACTTAATCATGTCTTCGGTAAAATACGATATTCCACTACTGGATCGTAACACCCGATTTCCGTTGTGGCAAGTAAAGATGAGAGACATTCTCATTCAGATGGATTTACACAAGGCGCTCTTGGGTTTCAATAAGATGCCCGATACATGGACCGAAGAAGAAAAGGAGATGAAAGATCTGAAGGCTTTATCCCAAATTCGTTTGCACTTGTCAAACGATGTTTTGCAAGATATTCTAAAAGAAACGTCAGCGGCTTCTTTATGGCTAAAGTTGGAACAACTGTTGATGACCAAGAGCTTACCAAACAAGTTGCATTTGAAGCAACGGTTGTTCAATCTCAAGATGATTGAAGGAGGCTCTTTAACTGAACATATATCTACATTTAAAGAGTTAGTAAATAACTTAGAGAATATGGATGTTCAGTATGAAGATGAAGACTTGGCTCTATTCTTACTATCGTCGTTGCCAGAATCCTATAGCCATTTTCGTGATACTATTATCTATAGCCGTGACACTCTAGTTTTAGATGAAGTCTATACAGCTTTGGATTCAAAAGAGAAGATGAAGCATATTACTGGTGGTGGTTCAAGTGATGCTAAAGCCGAAGGTTTGAATGCCAGAGGAAGAACAACAGAGAGAAGTAGAACTTCTCAATCTTCCAACAGAACCAGATCCAAGTCAAAAGGCAAACGAAAGTTTTGCAACTATTGTCACAAGAAGGGACATGTGATTGAAGAATGCTTCAAGTTGAAGAACAAAGAAAAAGAGAAGACGGCAGCAAATGGTAAACAAGCTAGCACTTCGGGTGAAGCCGATCTAGCTGAGGTCGAAGGTATTGGAGAACTTTTGACAGTTTATTCAGATAAACTGGATTCCACTGGTGATTGGATACTGGACTCTGGTTGTACTTTTCATATGTGTCACAACAAAAGTTGGTTTTATACATTTGAAAAGGTTAACCAGGGCTATGTGTTGATGGGTAACAATACTACATGTCCAGTTCTTAGACATGGTTCAGTCAGGATCCGTATGTTTGACGGAGTTATTCGAACCATGGGGGATGTTAGATATGTTCCTGACCTCAGAAGAAACTTGTTATCTCTCAGTTCCTTTGACAAAAAGGGATACGAGTTTGCTGGTAAAGGTGGAGTTCTCAGGGTATTCAAAGACGGTTCCGACAAACTGAGAGCCGAACGAAAAACCTCAGATCTTTACTTTCTTGACGGGCAAACAATTTCGAGTGATGCTGCTGTTGTGTCAAAGTCTCTTTCTGATCCAGATCAGTCCCGTCTTTGGCACCTTCGACTCGGCCATATGAGTTTTCAAGGCATGTCAGAATTGAGTCGAAGAGGTTTACTTGGTCAACAAAAGATCGTTGATTTGGATTTCTGTGAAGACTGTGTATATGGCAAGGCAAAACGAGTAAGGTTTGCAAGTGGTATCCATACAACGAAAGGACCACTTGATTATGTTCACTCGGATTTGTGGGGACCGGCTCGAGTTGCTTCAAAAGGTGGAGTTATTTATATGCTCACTATTATTGATGATTTCTCCAGGAAGGTGTGGTCTTTCTTCTTAAAACATAAAGGAGACGTTTTCTTTACCTTCAGAAATTGGAAAGTTCAGGTTGAAAAGCAATCAGGTCTGGTGGTAAAGTATCTTCGTACGGATAATGGACTTGAGTTTTGCTCAGAAGAGTTTAATGTCTATTGTCAAAAGGAAGGCATTACTCGACATCGCACAGTAGTCCATTCACCTCAACAAAATGGTGTAGCTGAAAGGATGAATCACACCATTATGGAGAAGGTCCGGTGTATGCTTTCTAATTCCAAATTGCCAAAGTCTTTTTGGGCGGAGGCTGCTTCGACTGCTTGCTATGTTATCAACCGATCACCGTCACGAGCAATCGAGAAGAAAACTCCGTTTGAGTTATGGTCCGGTAAACCTGCCAATTATTCAGATTTAAAACCATTCGGATGTCCAGCGTATGCACGAGTTGACAATGGGAAGCTAGAACCAAGAGCAATCAAATGCGTTTTTCTTGGGTACAATCAAGGTGTAAAGGGTTACAAGTTATGGAGCTTTGATTTGAAGAAAATTATCATCTCAAGAGATGTTACTTTTGATGAGTCTGCTATAATTCAACCAGTTGCTGACTCTTCTAAAAGAACAGATGCATCAGATGTATCATCCGAAGCAAATAAAGAGAATGCTCAAATGGAGGTGGAGCTTCCTACTTCACCTACCACTAATCAGAGTACAAATCAGCATCAAGATTCTTCTTCGTCGGATGAGCATGTTGTTGGTGAAGATTCAACACCTTCACAACCACAAGCTACTACTCCAAGCATTGCAAGAGATAGACCGAGAAGACAGATTATTCCTCCGAAGAGGTATGCTGAATCTGATTTGGTTGCCTATGCTTTTATTGTTGCTGATAATATTGAGTCCGCAACGGAGCCTACGAATTATGACGAGGCTATCAAATCTGAAGACTCAAATGATTGGATGCTCGCTATGCAAAATGAGATGAAAATCTTTGCAGCGAAACAGTACTTGGAATTTAGTTCCTATTCCGAAAGGGAAGAGACCAATTAAATGCAAATGGGTCTACAAGATCAAGGAACCTGCCAACCCAAATGATAAACCAAGATACAAAGCTCGGTTAGTAGCTAAAGGCTACAGTCAGATTCCTGGTATTGATTACACTGACATTTATTCCCCAGTTGTCAAACATACTTCCATTCGTGTATTGTTGGGGTTGGTTGCTTCTAACGATTAATGAGTTAGAACAACTTGATGTCACTACAACTTTCCTAAATGGTGAGCTTGAGGAAGAGATTTTTATGCAACAACCTGAAGGTTTTGCAGTTCCTGGAAAGGAGAACTACGTATGCAAATTGAACAAATCTCTTTATGGCCTCAAGCAGTCTCCTAGACAATGGTACAAGAGGTTCGATTCTTTCATGACCAGTCACAAATTCAGCAGGTGCACCTATGATAGCTGCGTTTATTTCAAGAAAGGTGACAATGGTTCAAAGATCTACTTACTCTTGTACGTGGATGACATGTTGATTGCAGCAAAAGATATGAAGGAGATTCAGAAGTTAAAAGACCAGTTGAAAGCTGAATTTGAAATGAAGGACTTAGGAGCTGCCAAAAAGATTTTAGGTATGGAAATTATTCGTGACATGAAGTCTAGGATCTTGCATCTTTCTCAGAAAAGTTATATTGAGAAAGTCCTAAGACGCTTCAGTATGCACGAAGCAAAGTCTGTCAACACACCTTTTGCAGCTCATTTCAAGCTATCATCCGCTTTGAGTCCTACTAATGAGACTGATATGGCTTACATGGCACGTGTTCCATACTCTAGTGCTGTTGGATCTTTGATGTATGCTATGATCTGCACGCGCCCTGATTTGGCTTATGCTGTTAGCATGGTTAGTAGATACATGGCGAACCCGGGGAAAGAACACTGGAAAGCAGTACAGTGGATTTTTCGTTATTTACGCAGTACGTCTTCTATGTGTTTACGTTTTGGTAAATCTAACACTGGGGTGTTCGGATATGTTGATTCAGATTATGGCAAAGATTTGGATAAACGAAGATCAATTACAGGGTATGTGTTTACTCTAAATGGTTGTGCTGTTAGTTGGAAAGCCCAGTTACAGTCTACAGTTTCCCTGTCTTCTACCGAGGCAGAGTACATGGCGATTACAGAAGCAGTTAAGGAAGATATCTGGTTGAAGGGGTTATAACTCGATGATAGAATAAAGGTGACCACAGTTTTCTGTGACAACCAGAGTGCTATCTTCTTGAGTAAAGATCAAATGTTTCATGACCGAACAAAGCATATTGATATTCGTTATCATTTTGTGCGAGATATCATTGAAAAAGGTGATTGTGTTGTGGACAAGATTCATACAGATTATAATCCCGCTGATATGTTCACCAAAAGTCTTCCTATAGCCAAGTTCAAATTATGTTTGGACATGGTGGGTGTTTCTGATCGCAGTTGAGCCTGAAGGCTCATGGTGGAGGAAGTATTATTTATTTTTCGGAAACAATTTTTTCTCTATATAAAATTTGCAAATTCTTATGGAAGTTTTAGAGTTTGATGAGCTATAGTTTTTTTGACTAATCGTAAAGCATGACTTGCTTAATTTTGATGTCAAGGTGGAGATTGTGGAAAAGTTGCCTCCAAAATTAGCAAGTGGTAAATAGTTCAGGAGTTATTTCAGTAACTTATCATTTACTATTCATAGTATGACTATGAATAGTAATATATATGTGAATTGAATGAAGAATTGGACGGTGTATATATGTGGTCAAAGTAAGGCGCCTAAAACAATTGTCCGCCTACAATTTGGACGGCTTTTCTTCTTTCCTTTCATATGATATTGCTTTTGGCTATAAATAGCCTGAGCCATGAGCCAGAAAGATAAGAAAATAATTATCCAAGTATATATAGAAAAGTATTACATATATATACTGATACATCACCGTGTATTTTAGCTCTCCCACTCTATTTGTAATCTCTTTCATAATCCCTGTAAACACTTCAAATTATAGTGAATTGTTTCTCGGCTTCCTCCGCCCGTGGTTTTTTCCCGATTTGGGTTTCCACGTAAATTCCTGTGTCTTTATTCTATTTATTTTATTCGTATTACGTTGTGATTATTACGCTTTGATAATTTTTTATCCCATTCCGCATTGAGCTAATATTATTTAAGTCAATTTGGATCCGTCGTATTTTACAACAAGAAAACTATAAATTTCCTTATTT